GCAGCCTGCTTCTGGGAAGAGGCAGCCATGACAGCCCTTCTGGGCACAGTCCCACTCTGACCTAATGGGGCGGCTGGCAGTCGGTGTGGGCTGCCCGGTCACCAACCCTGGCCAGCGTGTCTTCGGGTTACAGCTTGTGTCCTGTTGTTGCCTGGTTGGCCTGGACTGGTGGGGACCCCAAGCGCATAGTCAGAACCATCAGGTCCCGGGCTTGTCTTCTGGGGGGCCTCTGAGTGGGTCTGTAGCGCCAACCCACGGGCCCGTCATCGTCGTTGTCCTGCGCTTAACCAGCTGTGTCACACTCAGGGGCTCCTGAGTCGGAATGCAGGGCCGCTCAGGGCCGGTCTTTGAGAGGGAGAGAGCAGGGGGAGCCCCCGAGTTGTGCCTGAGTTGGTGTCTTCTGCACCAAGTCATTGTCAGCCTCCGTTTTGCTGAAAGTAAGATGGGGCCAGCAACGTGAAGAGGAGGTGCTAGGCTGGTTCAGGGTGGCCCTGGGCCTGTGGGCACTGCCTCTCCAGGGTGGCTGGGGTGACCCTGGGTGACTGGCCTCCCGTGCTCTACGATGGAAAGGTGATCCCTGCTCAGCACCGATTTTAAGAAACTGAGCCGGGAGCTATTTCATCAGCAGGCGGCTCCTTCATCCCGCTGGTCACATCAGAGAGGAGGGGGTCCTCCAGCCTCGGCCTCCAGCCTCAGCTTCCGTGGGGCTTCCAGCCTGGGCAGGTCTCGACAGGCCGTCCTTTCTAAATTTGCCCAGCCCCCCACAGCACCCCAGTGACCCCAGAACTGCGCAGACCTAATTAGGCTCATTTCTGTCCCCTACGGGAGAGAGGGGAACAGCGTCCTTCCCTCCCCCTCCTGAGCCCCCAGGTCCCTGCCTGCTCCAGCTCCCACCCACCCCTCCCTACCTGGCCTTTCTTTGATGGGGCCAGACCGCCAGCCCCAGGGACCTCTGAGGTGGCTTGAGACCGGAAAAGTAGGACTGTACTTGGACGTTTGATCGGAGGAAGAACTTTCTGCAGCCTTCCAAAAGGGCCCTGTCCCTACCACTGAGGCTTGATTGTTCTCGAGGAAGAAACAGAGGGTGAGCGAGGCCAGTCCCGCCGATGGGCATGCTGTAGGTGGGTTCCAGTCTGGGTGATGTGATCGTGTTGGAAGTTTATATCCCAGTCACCCAAAGGCCTACCACATCATGTGGATACCAACTCATAGTGATCCCTATAGCGGGGGTCGTGTTTCCCAAAGTGGGCAATACCAACCCGTGGGGAGGTGCTGGAATGAACTAAGTTGGGGTGAGGGGGTTGTCAGGGACAACTGCAAAAACAGACACGCAGACTTTATCTCAAACGATGGGCTAGATTCCGAACTTCTTTTCATCGCTGGGGGGCGGGGGCGATGTCACTGAGAACTTTGGGTTTTCTTCTGAAAAGGGGGTGGTAGGTCAAATCCATTTGAGAACTGACTGATGCTCGGTGGGGTTTCTGAAGCTAGAAATCTCTGCAGGGGCAGACAGCCTCAGCTGTCCTCCCAGGAACGACTGGTGGGTTTGAACCACCAACCTTACCTTATGCTTACCCAACGCCCTCCCTTCTATGGGCAACAGGTTGCTGTTTAGGCTCCCTGTAGCCTCAGCTGATCTCCCCCTTCCCCTGCGCAACCCACCCTCTCCCAACCCCGGGTTTGGGATCTTGGTGGTGGTGGTGATGTCAAAGCTGTGGCCTGTGCCACTTTTTCTGGAAAGATCTGAGGGAGGTGGAAGTAGCATTTATTGAGCACCTACTGCGTGCTCCTAGGAGCCTGGTAGCATAGGGGGTTGCGAGTTGTGCTGTTAACGGAAAGGTCAACCGCTTGTAACCAAGTAAGTGTCCGGACCATGCGATAGAGGTAAGAAAGTGGGGAGCACGTGGGGGTGCGACTGGGAGTTGAGTCCCAGCCTGCTTGCTCCAAACTGTGTGGAAGGGAATTTTCTAGGCCTAGAGCCCTGGCACAGGAGTGGGCTATCTGCTGGGCTGCTAATCAAGAGGTCAGGCGCTCGAACCCACCAGCAGGTCTGAGAAAGATGGGCTTTCTACTCCTTTCAGGCTGGACAGTCCTGGAAACCCCTCAGGGGCAGCTGCATTCTGTCCTCTCTCGTACTCGGTCACCAGGAGTCGGCACCAACTCGATGGCAGTGAGTTAGGTTGAGTTTTGATCAAGGTACAGATAAGGAGCTCAAGCCCTGGAAGGGACAGGTGTCTGTCCAGCGGCACAGTGTATGGTGGAAACGAAGCCAATTCCCCAACTTCTGATATCCCACTCCCCACCCAGGGTCCCACCCAGGGTCTTCCTGCAAACTCGATTGACCAAGACTCTAGAGGAGTGGTTCTCAACCTTCCTCATGCCTCGACCCTTTAACACAGTTCCTCATGGGGTGGTGACCCCCCAAACATAAAATTATTTTCGTTGGTACTTCATTACTGTCATTTTGCTACTGTTATGAGTCGTCATGCAAATATCTGATATGCAGGATGTGTTTTCATTGTTACAAACTGAACATAACTAAACATAATCAAAGCATAGTGATTAATCACAAAACAATATGTAAT